ATAATGCCGAAAGAGCCATGTTTCGGCAGATACATTGGCGCATCCCTGGTTTCTTTTCTCCCCGCTGGGCGCTGCTCTGTGTTCCAGCGGGGAGAAAACAAAGTGACAGCCGGCGAGAGTGCTGTGAGCGGCCGGCGTCTCTCCTCCCACACCGCTCAGCCGCCTATCACAGTCCGGCAGAGCGGTGTGGGGGCGGAGACAGCGCTGTCACAGGAGGCTGGGCTTTCCTCTCTACACCGCTGGATCAGACTCCTGTGACAGCGTGTCAGAGAGAAAAGCAAGAGCTGAAGCAGAGACACCGGCACTCCAAATTTGCAAAATATGTCTATTGACGTGCATCGTGGTAAAAAACAACGAACGTTTCGGGGTCAGAGAGAAAAGCAAGGTACACACGCTCAGCGATCACAGCGATGTGTGTACATAATTGAGAATATGGTATGTTAACTATATCCTCAATTATGAATGAATGGGAAGTGATCTACATCACCCCCATTCATTCATAATTGTAGTTATAGTAAACAAACAATGTTCTCATGTTATCAATGAACAGGAACACTCAGAGGATTCCTGTTCATTGATAACAGGGGACACAGAAAAAGAGATTGAGGACTCTATTTTAAAAAGGGAAATATCAGGGGTCTGTTTAGACTCCTAATATTTCCCCGAAGCCCCTAAAAGTAAAGTAAAAAATAAAAATATTTAATAAAAAATGAATAAAAATATAAAAAAATGTAAAAGTTTATAAAAAATAAAATATTTTTAAAAATTGAAAAAATAAAAATAAAAAACATTTTCGGTATCTGTTTCGGCCTGACTTTTTTTATTTCGGTTTCATTTCGGTTTTAAAACTTCCATTTTGGTGCACCTCTAATAATTGGTTATGAAGGTGGCAGGCATATTATTGTCAAGTCGCTCTCTTGTCACATGCCAAAAAAAAGGAGGAGATCAGCCACATGTGTCTATTGAATGTTGACGGGATTATTGCCACAATTCTGAACGAAGGAATTAATCATCACAAATGATGATTATACTTATTTAGGGAGCATCAACTATCAACTGTTCAGCAAACGTATAGCTAGACCAGATATATTCTTCTGCACCCATGGTCATACCAGTTTTCTATAAATATTAAGTATAAAAAAAACTTGAAGTAAAAGTTCTAAAGCAAAACAGGTACAATTTTAAATAAACTGATTGTATTAATTATAATGATTTATGTCATCATTGATAAAGAAGAAACAACCATATGCATCTGTGACCCCAGTTCTAACTCTGCAGTGTATCTAATAAATAGGAAAACTCTTTTAGGTATGCGGGTAATGGAACTAGTGTGCTTAAGAACAAAATCTATATATTGTGATATTCTGTATGTGAGGCCATCCATGTTGGCAATGAAAGTGTGCTAGAAAACATTTTGCGTTTTGGGGATTTTTGGTAAAAATATGGTGTAATGTTATGATCCCTCAGAAGAAGGGATCATCTTCAGTTTTGTTGCTAATGCCTTTGTTATATGCCTTTTCAATTAGATTGTGAAATTTCCGCTTCTGCTAGATAGTCCTTTCGATCTCGGTTCATTATGCCCCCACCTTTATCTACAGTACAGATGATCAAATGTAAATTATCCGTGAATGACTTCAATGCTTGTAACTCATTTTAGTTAATTTCTTAGTGTGGGTACCTTTCATGTTGCCTTCCTTTGTTTTTTTTTCATAAGTTGATAAACGATGCATAAACTGAGGCCGCAACAGAGTATGAGCGTATGGAATGCCAGGCAGATGGGTGACCAACTCGTACTCCTCATTTAGTAATGTTTTAAGTGCTTCCAATGCAATAAAATGGTTCTCCTCTTCCACATCCAATGGTTTACGGAGTGACATGTTATCTATCTGCTGGTTGTCTTTCCTTTTGTCCTCCTCAATGCTACAGAATCTTTTAACTGAGATTTATGATGAATTTCTGCAGATCCTTAAATAGTTTGAATAAATTAGGCTTGGAGCAAATTTCAGACGTTTATGGAGGTTTGTGATCTTGTTTTTCCTGTTTCCACTCTTCCTTTGTGTTGCTGACTATGTACAAAGCATACAGTGTATTGGAAGCATATGAGTGCATTAGCAATATTGTGTTTAACTTTTAATAAAGTGCTTTATTGCACCAGATCTGTGTACTTTCTTCCTTCTGTCTTTCTTTAAATGTTCCCATCCGGTGTCAAGTAGCTGCAACATGCACCTTTATTCATTACTATTAATAATTCAAGTATCCCCACCTTAACTCAGTTCTGAAGTCTCCCAAAGCTTCGTTCCTATAATCCCACACACTGAAAACGAGCACCCGTTTGAGACCCTTCTAAATTAACAACATACACAGAGGTTATCCAAACACTGTAGCCTGATGCCCAACTGTTAACTGCATCAAATATCTATAGATACAAGACAGCAGCCCAGCAAGTCCCAGGTTCCCACAACTGAGGTATAGGACAGATTAGGTCAATTTACAGCCACCATAAGATAATTAGCAGTAATAGCTGCGAGCAAATGATTAAAACAGTGTGTGATTTAACAATTGGGATCTACTGGCACTTGTACATAAACAGTAAAGTAAGAGCTCTAATTCAACTTACTATTACATGTAGGTAATGGAGGATCCCACTGGCTGCTGGCGTTGCACTTGACCGAGTTATCACCTTTCATTGTAAAGCCTGGAGAACATCCAAATGTGACAGCAAATTTGAAATAGTATGGGCCAGTAAACCCAGATAATTTAACTGCATTGGCAACCTCTGGATTTGAACATTCAGTAGCTGTAAATGAAAGAAATACATTCTATAGTTGTTTAAAAACAAATTGCACCACATGGATCAGTAAAACAGCTAAAAAAAGATTTAAAGTGGAATTTCAGCCAAAACATTTTTCTTTTTGGTTAAGGTGGGCAAGGGTTAGAACCTTTGTTCATTTTTTATTGCTGCCCCCGTTGGAGACAGTATTTCTCAACAGATTTAAAATTTGTTATTGAGACAATAGAGAAAGTAAACCCTTTCCAATTAAGTCATACACTGCAATAAAGCACGAAAGAGGATTTCGCCACTCCATTTAACAATAAAACAAGTTATGGATGGAGTTGCACTTTAAAAAATTGCATTTCCAGGGAAAACAGAAATTGCTCATCTATTAACACATCTACATCTAACACACAAGCTTTCCCCTGGGCAAGGATTGCACTTAGAAAATTCACAACACGGCTCACCTATTCTGGAAAATCTTGACTCAGAGTGTAACCATAAAAAAATACAATGGTATTCTAGGGCAACAAAAAGGCTGCAGGCGGGGGTAGTAACAAGGTCAGAGGCAATTAGCGGCTTTTTCATTTTCTCTGTCTATCTCAATTAAACACAGTGGGGGGAATTTATCAAAACTGGAGCAGACAAACTCTGGAGCAGATTTTCACTGTAACAAATCAGCTTCTCTGTCTCATTTGCAAATCTTACCTGAGAAAACTGACAAGAGCTGCTGGTTGGTTGCCATGAGCAACTGCTCCAGATTCTGCCTGCTCCAGTTTTGATAAATGATGAAACAAAAAAAGTTTGCCCTACCCATTTTTCTCTTTATACTTCAAACTCTGGGACTTTAATGGTACCAGGTATAACAAACATTTATGTAGTGTAACCAGGGATGTAACTATAGCCTATAGGGCCCCATAGCAAAATCATGATGAACCCACGTTAAAAAAAAAAAGTTATGCAGAGGATAAAGGACTAGTCACAAATATTGCCTATAGACTCCCTGCTGATTTCTTTATTATTGGCTTACCATACCTTGTTCTCAACTGGTCTGTGTGGAGGTGGCCATCTTGTTATAGGAGAGCAGCACAGTATTGGTATTAATAAATATCACTCTAAATTTCGCGAGACTAGAAATCAGATGCAGCAGTGTCTTAGATGTCACACTGCAGATTTACAGTTATGAGGCTGTAAACACAGGTGTGCTATTACCAATACTCTCTAATGATTTCCAAACAACAAGACAGGCCTGAACAGCAGACTGAGCCGTCTGTGTAAGGCCTACATGACAGGGGTTTGTAAAGTGAAAAAAGGGGTCCTGTGAGGGTTAATTTGTCCCTAGCAATAAAGGAGGTTATGATAGGACACTTACCTGATTGGTCAGCGGTGCAGAGAGGAGGAGCGTAGGTGGATCTTTGAGAAAAGAAAGTTCCAGATCCAGACTGAGTTAGCATCGTGGAAACAGCATCCCGCCCTCTTTGTTTTGTTCTATATTTGCATTCTCTGAATAAATTATTTTTTGTTCTATCGTTAATGTCGCTGCAGCCAGGCAGGGTATTGGGGTCCTTGAGGAGCAATCTATGCAGTGGAGGTTTAATTAAGAGCGGGAGCTGTCTCAGGTATGGCATCCCCTTTTGTTAACGGGTCGGATCGTTAAGTCATCTAGAGTCCGCTGTTATACTGCAAAGTCCCCAAGGTGGTGTGGTGCAGCTGGGGGCCGTGTAGGCAGATACTGGTTAGTTGGTTTGTTGTGGGATGGCCTTCAAGGACCTCAATTCCCGTTGTCAGTTATTTTTGTAAAGATTTGTTATATGGCTTTATACTTAATAGAATTGGCTGCAGTGGCCATTAAAATTCAATACCAGTTTTGTGTCAATTAATTAGAAGGGGGATTAATATGGAAGTCTATGCTGTTAATTGACCCTTGAAGAAAGGTAGACAATGCCCTTGTCATGTTTATGCAGTAAAAATGTTTATGCAGTGAAATGCAGTAACTAAAATACCTAGCGAGATCTGATAATATAGGATTATTTGCTAAAATGTGACCATTTGTGAAAATGCAAACATAATGTGCCTACCAACACACTTCGGGGCATCAGAACTCCAATTTCCTGAAGCACTGCAGGACAGAGAAGATTCTCCTACAAGTGCAAATTTTTTGTCACTGCACTGGTATGTTACAACATCTTGGTATGTATAATCTTCCTTTTCCGCGTTAAATGATCCATCCGCAATGGGAAATGGAGGTCCACACATCTGAACTGTGGAAACAAATGAAGAACTGAAAACGAGAAGTCTGCAAATTAATTGTTTTATTTGTTTTTTGTAAACTACAGAAGGGAAACTTTTTTTTTGCTATCTTCGTCCCATGGGTAACAACAACTCTCTCTCCTGCAGACACAACAGAAAGTGAGAGGAAATGTATCCTAATTTATAAAAAAGTATGGTGCGATAGCTGTCCCCAGAACAGAGATGCCCATTGGTAGATTTCCCTCAACTCCTGTTCTGGTGACAACAGTAAAATTAGATATTAAGAAATTCACATCAGTTCCCTGCTTGCAGAATGGGTTTACTATCCAACATCTATACGAGTTATTCACACATACACAATTTATGTGGAAGTTGATTAGGTAGAAGTATGTTCTTGCAGTGCCGAAAAAAAAATGAACACCTAAAAGGAAACGCACAAACCTGGGGAGAACATACAGGTATAATGCAGACAGTGTTCTGTTGTGTGAACTGAACAGAGAACTTTAGTTCTGCAAAGAAAGAGTGCTAAATACCTACCATCCTGTACCAGAGTGAGGCAACTGCATGAACTGGCATCAGGAGAGACAAAGAAGGATGCACATTTGTTTTGCAATGGGAATGTAAGAGTTCGATACTGTACAGAATCTCTGGTGGGTCCTCATTATTTGCCATTTTTTACAATAAAAGTATTTACATGCAGATAATATTGTACTGCAAAAATTGTATTTGCATGGCATTTGTATATATTGAGGATGGCAGACACGATCTGATGGGGTGCGTCTTATTATACTTATTTAAAGAAGAACTCCAGCAAAAAAAATTATTAATCCTTGCAGTGGGACTACCCTCGCACTGCAATAGGTTAACTGCTGGTTTTGGTCTAGGTTAAAAAAAAAAAAAAGTGAGGAGACAGGCTGGAGGGAGAGCCGTGACAGTTGGCTAGCTAAGAGCATTGGGTGAGATAGAACTTTATTATGTTTAAACCCTAGGGTTAAGAAAAAGTTATTTTAACCCCCAAGTATTAAGAAAAAACATTTTTCTGGAGTTCTTCAAATGCAATATTATTTCCCATCACTTCACCAGATTGAGAACCGACCTGAGTCAAAACACACTCCATTGTGGATGTTCTAAACTGCTTTTGCTGCAATCTATTCCTTCAATCCGGAGCTGTCCCCTGCAGTAGGTCTCTTCTGTCACTGGATATTTTCAGCCTGATGGACAGCATCCTTGAACCTACTTCCTCTGAGCTCAAGCTACCATTGACTGACTGGACAATGAAAGGGGAAGCAGCTTATCTGTAACTCTACTTTCTCCTCCAGTCAGCATGCTCCCTCTCATACTCCAGCCCTGAGGAGCCCTCAGGAATGAAAGAGGCTGATACCAGGTCACATTCTGGCACTTACATAAAAATAAATGTATTAATAAATACAGAACTGCATTAATGTGTGTTTTTGTATCTGTCTAGCATTCAGCTTAATAGGTTCAGGAATAAAATTAAGTTTTAAGAACATGTGTCATACATGTGCTGATCATAGTTTTATAAATAGATAATGGTGTAAAGTGGAGCAAAGTAACGTAAACACTGTAGTTTTGCAAGTCCGCAAAGATTTGCTAAGCATTTGAAGGGAACTTTGTCACTGGTTGTAAACCTAAAAAGGAAAAAAGGGAGCTTCAGAGAAATTAAAGAAAAAAAGATTTTTGGACTACATTTAAAATCCTTTTCTCAATGAATTAATTGGTAGGAGGCACAGTCTTCGACGTCTGGGAACTTGGATGAACTGCACTGATGTCATCACACACCCTGCCCACACCTCACCACACATGATTTGCTTCACAAGGAAAGTAATGTGCAGCATCTCACGTCATTTCTTCCCGGACTAGGAGACTGACAATTGGAGTGGGGCTATATGCAGTCATGGTGAAAAATTGGTGCAAACCTGTACCCTGCAAGTACATGGAATGCCAAGTAATCCGGCATTTCAGTGATTTGGGACAGCCTTTTCAATACAAATAAGTGGATGAAGGATTGAGAAATAAGGTGGGGCACACAGTTTGGTTTTACTCTCCATAGAGATCATGCCATTACAGATTGAGGCTAGAATTATATGAACTACTATATTTAAAATTTTCATGGAACAAGTGCACTTTTAAACATATTTGGTTATACAGTAAATTAAACCCTGGACTCAGGAGTTAAACATAAACAATGCATTCATGTTCCTACTTATTAACAAGACTGTACCATATTTGTGTATCATTGGGCTGGAGATCCTCAAATTCTGAATTTGTACTGACACTGTCCTTCTCATGTTTAGTTTACCAATTTGTATTGCAATTGTAGTCCATTACGGGAGCAAGCTGGGCTTGGAGGTGGCTACTTTTCAACACACAGGGGGACCATGGGGAACACAAGTAGCCACTCTCCAGTAGGAAGGAGTGCCAGCATGAATTCAGAGATGATTTGAGGCTCTAAAGCCGCGTGATACACAATACATTTTTCTTAAAAATGAAGATACTTGAATTCTTTTTTAAGATTTCATTCCTGAGTTTAGTGTCACTTTAAGCAAGGTGACTGGGCAAAAATCAATCAGGATCTAGCTGAATTGTAATGTTTTCACAAGCTGCATTTTAAACGAAAAAAACATTCTCATATAAATGTTTTGGAAATTAGCTGTCCAAACTGATTCATAGCCAGGGCGGGTGTTACTCTCTCTGCTGCCCCAAGGCCAGGTTCCTCAAAGCGCCCCCCCCCCGAAAACACGACTTGCCTCCTTAGAACTGTTAACCCACTGTTGATGCATGTGATGTCACAATACCCTTATAAAAAGGTAAATGTTTCACTTGCTCTAAAAAGGGGGGAAAAATCCTTCCTGAAATGGCTCATATGCATAGCATCGGCAGTAGTATTTATTTTATTTCATTACTATTACTTTATATAATTTGTTCATATATAAAGCAGCCTTGGGGGTCAAATGTGTAAAGTATGCAATACTCCATATACTTTCATTTATTCTCAGATCTATAACTTACTGTTCACACAAGTGTATTGTGAGGTGTAAATATAATCATTTTGGTAGAGTTCCCTAAAACCGTAGTTATTTTAAGGGGTCCTTTATGTCCAAAAGGTTGAGGAAGGCTGCTTTAGAGGTCACCTGGCATTCTGCTTGTCCTAACCATCTGTACCAGGAGTTAGGGCTAAAGATAAATGTAAATCCAGGTTTTATTTATTTATTTTTATAGGCAAAATATAACTTTTAGAACGGTTTTGCCAATAATCTTCTCTGGCAGGAAGAGGAAATATGCAGCACTGCAGGCAGAAAGAGGATTAGTTATTGTGACAAAGTAACATTTCCCAGGACATTTCCCTGTGATCACCATTCCTTGCTACTCTTAGGGCCCAATCACACTAGCCAGTCCATTGAAATGGAGTCACAATGGGCTAGTGCGTTGCGACAGCTCCAGTGGTGTGCGCTGTATCACACTGCTGGAGTTGTTCCTAGTTAAATTTTTTTCTTTTTTAAAAACTTTATGCAGGCTACTTAGGTCCCTGCACTGCACTGCTTTGTGGCGACCTGTGGAGGGATTCAGTGAGATGGAGGGAGAATGCAGCATGCAAAACAGACAGCGCCTTGTCCTCGTGTAATACAGTTTATTAATCAATGAACATACAAGCTGACATAAAATACTACTCACATGGTAATCACTGAATGAATTGTACAAGGCAGACCCCACACAAAGCTGCCTTCCCTTGTTTGCAATTGTTTTCTATGTGTCCTAGTGGTGACCTTCATTGATCTGGTGTAGTACAGCGCAAGTCATTGCTAGATGTGTGAATGGGTCCTTGCAGTGAAATTTCCAACTCTACCCAAAATTAAAAACAAAACATTTTTTTTTTTTTTATATACGTTAAAGACCAGTTCACACATCTAGTGGTTGTCAGCGTTGTAACTGAACTGGAGGAGTGTACAATTATATGCAGTTTGGTATAGAGGATTGTCCCTGGACACAGGATAGATGCATTCAGGGACAATCATCAGTCATCATTCCCAATCATTAGTCCTAAACTGCATGTAATCATACCATTCTGAAAGATGTGGCCGCTGTCTCATTAACTTTAATGGGTACAGCGGCCGCTTCTGAACAGGGACACCTGGGATTCCTGCCACAGTATAATTGTACCCCAGTACATGTTTTATTACTTTTTTGCCCATTGTTTTCCTAGTTTTTTTTCCATTGCAATAAGTTTAAATCACTTGCACAAATCTGATTTACCTTCCACAATATAGAATTTATATCTGTTGACTAATGTAAAAATGTGACAATTTAAAAATCAATAAAAATATAAATAATTGTCTGCAAAGACTGTTTATTGCAGAAACAAAAGAACTTTCAAAGTGTGTGTGCGTGGTGGGGTGTAGGCACTGTAAATAGGTATATGTTTGTGCAAACATTTATGCATACCGCACCCTTATGTAAGCAAAGCTAAAACTTTAAAAACTTTACCTTTAAAAAAAAAAAGAAAAGAAGAACAGTTTGTTAATTCTACAATACCCATATTTGCACACCTTGATATTATTATACAGGATTTATATAGCACCAACAGTTTGCGCAGTGCTTTAATGTTTGGTTTTACCTTCACATTCAGGGACTGCATTACTCCAAGTTCCATCTGCTTGGCATTCTCTGTAATCCTTTTTGGATATCATTTTGTATCTAAAATATATTAAATGAAAGGTACTTATTAAAGACATAGGAGAAAGCTATACTGAAGTCACTATGGTTAAATAGCAACTACAAGCAGTAAAATATATCTGGGTAATGGATTCACTCATTAAACAAAACAAAAAAACACAACACTGAACATGTCAATTTATGTAAATGTATGGCAAAATTATCTGGATCTCTTCATGTCTGCTTCCTGCAATCCAAGGGTTCGGCAGAAAGCTAGCCATACATTCTTCTATATTATTTGTTCAACAGCCACCGGCAGAATACCTAAACAGAGCCAGCAGCTCACTGGCTGTCGGCTCTGTTTGTTCAAAGATTTTCTGACTGGCTCCTTTGATCAGCTGATCAAGGGATACCACCCAAAAGGGTGCCAACAGCAGCACCCATTTTGCAAAATTCATATAATGTATGGCCAGCTTTAGACAGGTAGATGTAGTACTTTAAGCCAATCGTGCTCTACTGCATTGCTCAAAGCTGTAAATCTAGCACTGAAAGCTTGCTGAAAGGAAGAGAGTGCAAGATTTGAGGTTTACACTGCTGATTTGCACTGTCCAAATTCAAAACTGGGACAGGTCCAAGACCCCATTCAACTACAGGAAGGACGGAACACTGGGGTGCAGGGAGAAGAGAATGGCTTGCCCTGCTTTGCCTTTGTGTTTGTGGAGACGCACAGAGCTTACTAGCACACACAAGGGTGTCTCTATAGGACCCTACAAGAGAAAGGAGCCACTCTAAAACAGGATATCAACAGATTCTGCAGGAAACTAAAACATCAAGGATCAGCATCCGTTGTAAGTGATTTCATCAGCATTTAAAATAATTTGACCTCAATATCACTATATTATCTTATTAAAGCAAAAGTATACTGCCATCTGCAGGGGAACTTCTTGCCCTAATGAGAGAGTTTGTCACAAAATCCTCCACAAGAAAAAAAAAAGTGAAAGCAATCGCTTTGGTGGATTAACAGAGAGGTGGCTGGAAAAGTGTTGTTAAACATTACCACTTAAAGACTGGGTGTTTACACCTTCCCAGCCAGGCCATTTTTCAGTATTCAGCGCTGACATTTATTCAGTTATGCAACACTGTACTGAAGTAATTTTGTACCATTTTTTGGGGACAGATAGAGCTTTCTTATGGTGGTATTTATTAATTTTACTATATAATAAAAAAAAAATTACCGAAAAATCCAGGGTGAAAAAAAGAAAAACAACAGTTTCCCCTACATTATGTGCTGAAACATTTAGGATTACCCACATTTTTGGTAAAATATAAAAGATGGGGTCACATCAGGTAAATAGAAACCAAAACATGTCAAGCTTTAAAATTGCTTGTGCCCGAGAAATAGCAAAGAACTACCATACACAAAATTGGCCTTAGGTGACGCTTTTATTGCTCATCAAGTTAGTGTTACCAGTGATTAATGGCCCTAGTATTATTGCTCTCACTCCAACGTTCGTGTGATATGTAACATGTGCAGCGCAATGGTCATTTTCGCAGGTATGTGCACCAGACACATGTTGGTATATGTGGGTGCGGGTGACTTAAAAAACGTTGTGTTTTTCTTAAATTTTTATATGCGACTCATTTATTTTTATTTGTAACTATTTGTTTTTCACTTTTTTTTCCACTTAACCTTCTTGCTATCACATAGGGGCTAAGAAGTGCCCCATGTGATAGCCACTTTACACAGACAGGTCCTCTTTATGGAGACATCGGGGGTCTCTAAAACGCCTAATGTCACCTAGGGACCTCCAGAAAAGCTGATAAAGCAGAAATCTGCTTCACCTGCTTCTCTGCAGCTACAGAAGCCGGAGAATGACAGCTGCATGCGGAAGTGATGTAATATACATCACTTTCTGCATTCAGAGAATGGAGGAGAGATCAGAGAGATTGTGTACTGAACTTCCCCTGATCGCCGGTGACAGAGCCGCCATGTGGGTCCCAGGCCAGCACCAAGCACAGCGGGGCTCTACAGATGGGGGAACGCTTGTATATAAACAGCCACCGTTGGCGGTTTACAATTTAGGCAGTTCTCCCACTCGTGCAAGGATGTTTTACATCACCCACTCACTTTTAAGAAGCTCCCGGCCGGCTGTTTAAAGACAATGACCGGCCTAAAAGCGGTTAAAGCACTGCAAAAGGAATTGCTTATGGTGAAATAATTTGCACTGAAGTAGGAATGAGATTTCATCTGATGGGACACTTTGAATTATGCTGGACTTTTATAAGACTTTTTTACACACTTTCACTGAAAATCACACCAGAATGCAGCTCTGCATGCTGATCTAAAATCATATTACATTAAACAAACATGTTTTTCATTTACTTACGAATCAGTTTTACCTACTTCCTGGTCCAGTTCTGGCACAAATGAGGTAATGTGCCCAAGCATTGCATCCTGGGAAGGTTACATCAGCAGAGCATTGCTGAGAAATCTCATCTGTAATCTCACGAGATCTCAAGGAAAGGCATTTTCCTTCCCTGAGATGATGTGCATGGTCACATGTGCCAGAGTTCCAGGAAGTAAAGGGAGATATATTAATCTGCCCTTAGTTAACATGGCCACTACCAGAAGACTGGGAAAGAAAAGTGAAATAAGGTATGCAAAGAATACAAAGCCTGCAATTATCTATAAGTATGTGTTTTTAGTTTGCCATTACTAAACATTTCTAAAAGGTGTATGTGTTATTTTAAAAGACATGGGTATTATTATGCATTTTTTCTACATATTACACATTCAAGACTGATTGTTGGATACCAAATTAAATGATTTATTTGGCAAATCATGTTTTTATTTTAATTGATTTAAGATTTTATTCTATATACAATGCTACACTTGATTCATTTTTATTAAGGTAAGGAGTATATATTACTTTGGTGTTGGATGCTAACAAAATTTTTAACACGTGGTGGGAAGCTCAGGAGTTGATGTATTTATAATTTGCCAGAAAATGTGACTACTCCAGAAAGCGTCAAATCCTGAGCACTGCCCCCTCCTTCCTTGCATGTCATAACCTTCTGTTCTGGGAGTGTATCTGTTTTTGTTTTATTTACTTTTTGGATGTCAACACAAGAGACTTTTACAAGTAAACAACTTTAAAAAAAAATATGTTAAATGCACATATACTCTTATGGGAATATCTTTGTTGAAATTGTAATGAAAAACAGGTAAGAGTTATTTTGAGACAGATGTCTCAGAAAACACCTTCTGAAACATTTCACAGTTTTTCCAAGACTACTTCTTGCCGCCTAAAGTAACATTAGCCCATGATCAGGCTGCATAGTGGGTCTTCTTTCCTTAGTATGGAGTGCAAGATGTACAAAGCCTAAATGAAGATGAATGCTAGGAACCTCTAGCACTAAATGGTAGATTGGTAAACTAGTGCTTGAGCAAACCATACCTGGCCAGCCACGGCCTCAGGGAGAACATGCAATCACAGGAAGTTCCCATTGGGGCCATTACCTGAGTCACTCTGGCCTCTTTCTCACAGTGATTTTAAAAACTAGATATGCCTGTTTCTAACCGTTTGCAAAAGACCTTGATCTACTTGTGGCCTTCCTGCAGGTCTCTTCCTTCTACTCATTAAAAGCAAATTCTGATCATATTTCATGAATTAAGCAGGTGTAAAATTAAATCTTTTGGCTTCTAAATGCTGCAAAGTAGATATTTAAATCTGTTTTTGTGGTAAAAAACCCAAACAGTGCAATGCTTAGAGTTTCTGATTTGGTAGCTGTGGAGTAGTGAAGGTGGCCTGGCTAGTATTCTAAATAGGATTTTTGTACTCACCGTAAAATCCTTTTCTCTCCGTTCATTGAAGGACACAGGGAACAGATCTAGGATCATGTACTGTTGGGTAATATCGCCACCTGCAGGAGAAGGACGCTAGGCACAAAACTAAAGACCAATTACAGCCTAGGGGCGGCCCCTGCTGGTGGCCAAACCCCCCACCTGCTGACAAGTCTCCAGTAAGTAACAAGCAGTTAAGAGTACACACCCACACAGAGGGGCGGGACCTGTGTCCTTCAATGAACGGAGAGAAAAGGATTTACATAATGTTCGTCCCCCAAGCAAAAACGAAGGAAGCGTTGATGTGAGGAACAGACGAGGATGTGAAGGTAGGCATCCACGATGGAGGCCATGAAAGACCCCTGACGAAGACACACTACCACGAATCGGATAGATTCCATCCAAAACCTACGCACCCGCACGAAGGTGTTTAACCACTTGAGGCCCAGGATGGGGCAAAGCCCCCCCGTCTTCGGAACGGTAAACAGGTTGGAATAAACCATCCGAACCACTCCGAGGCGGGCACCGGAACAATCACCCCCTGGAACAAGAGGTTCGCCACCACGCTGTGAAAGTCCGCCAGCCGCTGCGGAGGCAGGCGAGTGTTGGAAAGACCTGTCCCCCGGGCGCGACAGAAACACAACCTTGGAGCCCGAAGACATCAACCCCCGCACCCAGGTGTCGGAGACGCGGGATAGCCAAAGGCCCGCAAGAGTCGAAGGCGTCCCCCCACCCTGGAAAGTAGAGATGGGGCAGACCCTCACGCCAAGGGGAGACGACCCTGGGGCTAGGAGGTTGTCGGCCGTCAGGCACGTTCCCAGGTAGACGGCGGCTCGTTGAACTTCGCCCCACACCGAGGGCGGAGGGGGACAAATAAACTGCTCGTGAGCAGAGAAGAAGGACCGGGCAACCGCCGGTGGTCCCTAGGCTGTTTAGCCTGAGGCAGAAAGGTACTCTTACCGCCCGCCAGATCCTCAATGATCCCATTCAGAGGTGCTTTGAACCAACGATCTGGTAAAAGGCAATTTTACCAACGAAAATTGCCTTTTACCAGCCTGGTAAAAGGCTGGTAAAAGGCAATTTTACCAACGATCTGGTAAAAGCCATTGAGCTAGAGAAGTCGGCGTAGTGTCCGCAGACACTGACAGCATGGAAACCAAGGGAAATAGCAGAGTCTGCATGCGCTCGCCGGCCGTCCAGGGGAGACTACAAGGATCTACCACATCCAGCCTGTCGCCCTGGCAGCACTTGCTAGAAGAATCAGCGAAAAAACAGGAAGAAAGTCAGGTAAGAATACCCGAGAAAAAATTCTTAGCTCCTTACTCCTGACGCTAGGCAAAAAAAACGGGAGATTTGTCAGCAGGTGGGGGGTTTGGCCACCAGCAGGGGCCACCCCTAGGCTGTAATTGGTCTTTAGTTTTGTGCCTAGCGTCCTTCTCCTGCAGGTGGCGATATTACCCTACAGTACATGATCCTAGATCTGTTCCCTGTGTCCTTCAATGAACGGAAGAGAAAAGAGGTACATTACTCTTACTAATTAAATGTTTATGTATAGCCAAAACTTTTTTTTAAAGTTTGGGCAGAGTAGAGAAGGCTTAAAACCCCTGGTAGTTTTCTTTTGCCGTCTATGTACTTTTATGCAAATATGTCTTCACTTTCTTTCCCAAAGAAACAACAAGAAAATCTACCAAAGTGAGAGACATTCCCATTTAAGGGCCTGTTCACATCATCTCCAGGCCAGTGCATTTTTAATCTGCACCAAAACTGCATACACATTAAATCCAATGGTTTTATTGTGGCTAGTTCAAAAAAGAATTTAAAAAAAAGTACCAGAGCATGCTTTTTTTCCACACCGCAACGCAAGTGTGCATGCACCAGAATGCACTTAAAATCCAAGAAAAAACTATTTCAAAAAATGAATGCACTGGAAAACATCAAAAACACATTGAAAACACAAACACATATGCGGAAATGCATCCTGATATGGTCTGGAAATGGTGTGAACAAGCCCTTAGACAGTTATACCTGAAACAGGTGTTCGCATTGAAAGAGGTTACCTCTTGTTCTGAGAAAAACTTGTGTGTCTTCCTTATTCAGTGATTAAGGCAAATAAAGGGTTGAATCTTCTCAATGGACATACAAAAAGCAAGAAAAACTTAACATGGGGTCTAACCCCTTCGTTCTCTACCGAAAACTAAAAATTTCAAAACGTTTTGCCTAGAAAAACACAGTAAGAACAGCTTTGGGGCCACCTATGAGATATTTATGGTGTTTTACCTTCAGATCTATGCACAACCGAGCAGAATTTGAAAAGGTAAAATCACCTGGTTTGCATTGTGGCGAGCACAGCTAAATGAACATGTCATTGTGAGGCTCAGTGATCAGCTTCTGCTCAACATCATACTGTTTTTTTCCGTGTATAAGACTATACTTTTTCTTAAAAATATTTACCTAAAAATAGAGGGGCGTCTTATACACAGGGGGCCGAGAGGAGAACCGCGGTTGCAAATCTACCTCTGCAAACTAGCCTCACGAGTGAAACTTCCGATTGCAGAGACAAGCTAACAGGTTTCCTCCAATCATGAGCCTTATGTCCCCGACGTCCGCTGATGCTGTGGAGAGCGTGTAGCCAGTGCCCATATGCAACAGAGGGCGGTAATGTCGGAGCATTCTGAGCCAATAAAAATGTCAGAAAAAAAAAAAATACCGGTACCAGTAAGCGGCTGTCTTACTCTGCAAAATTTAAACTGGATGTAATCAATTGATTTCTGAATTTTGGGTAAGAAAAGTGGGGGGCGTCCTATACATGGGGGCGTCTTATAGATGGAAAAATACGGTATAAGGCTCCTTTGCCTGCTCACCTTCATGATCCCCGTCTCCCACTGCAGAAGTATACAGTTTCTTCTATCTTTACACTAACTGTTTTTGTAAATTGTAATACATTATGCCCAGTATGTTTCACAAAATTAGCAGGGTCAGTTTACACAGCTATGATTGTTATGTCACAGAAAAACTACTTACAGCAATTATAGCAAATGAGAATGGCAAAAAGGTTAAAATTAATGTTATGGTAAATAACATATGCTTAAAAGATTGAGCTAGCCATACACGGCGAGATTTTTCATTCAGCCCCTTGGGCTACGTGAGAAAAATCACTTGATTCCTCCATCTACACCAGGGGCGCCCACTATTTTTCGTCTGGAGATATACTTTTCAAATGACGAGCTCATTGAGATCTACCAACGAAAAAACACCTGCATTCAGGGGCGGGAGGGGGAGTGGGCTGCGCAGGCAGGCCCCTCGCCCACAGTGCAATCGCCTGCATTAGTGCCTGTGTTCCAGTCCACTAAACAGTGTGGATGGAGCAATCTCCACCCTTTTCATTGTATTCAGACATTCGGCACCCAAAGCTGTCTGAATACCAAAACAGTGGCTGCATCCAATTAAAAACATTCATTGACTGGCTGACAATTTTCCGACCAGCTCCTCCAAATTTCGCAATTGAAGTTGGTCGACCAGAATGGCGCCACCAGGATCACCTCTAGCTTCAATCTCAGTCGATAAAGCAGGAAATTTGAGCTGTGTATAGCTAGCTTAAAGTGATACTACACTCAGGAGTAAAATCATAGAAATGCATTCAAGTGCCCTAACTATTAACATAAATGTATCGTATTTGTGCATCACTCAGCTGTAGATCCTCAAATCATCTCTGCATTGGTGCCGATAGTGTCCCTACTTCCAGAGGGTGGTAACTTTTGTTCCCCAGGGTCCCTGTGTGTGTTGTAAAGTAGCCACCGCTCCAAGCTCACTCCTGTGATGGACTACAATCTCACGTTTAGTTAGTTAGATTGTACTGAAGTTAGAGTCTATCACAGGAGCAAGCTTGGAGTGGTGGCTACTTTACAACACACACAGGAGCCATGGGGAACAAAAGTAGCCACCCTCCAGAAGGACAGTATTTCTATTATCTTGTTAAAAAAAAAACAACAACAACAAAAAAACAAACCAACACCACCACCTTACTCACCCAATATTACAGGTATAGTTCACTCTAGATCCAAAGAGGGTACTTTCGATGTGCAATTCTCCATTTTTTGTCTCTCCAGGGTTTCCGCATGACTTCACTGTATTAATAGTAAGTAAAATATTGAAACAAGAATGTTAAATCTGTTAAACTACTTTATGTAAACACTTTAGCATGGAGAATGAGACCATATTAGAAGAAACATATTTACAATTCTGAAACAGGCTTACTAGCACACACACAGGGGTGACTGCATAGCACTCAGCTTGAGAAAGGAGTCACTCTAAAACAGGAAGTCAGGACCAGTGCTCAGGGGCCCAGCTAATTCTGCAGGAAACTAAAACTTTTAAAACATCAAGGAGCAGCATCCATTGTAAGTGATTTCATCAGCATTTGAAATAGCTTAAAATCCCTTTGCCTTTAATATCACTTTGCATAACATTTATAGGTTTGGATCCTCTTTCAATCTGAAGCTGTTCTCTACTCTTATCAGCAGGTTTCTTGTTAGCATATGAGCACAGTTGTACAGCTGATTGGCTCTGTATGGTGTCCCTCCTTCTTCTAGTGTGAGCTCTGTTGTACAGGGACTGCAAGAGGTGATGCCAAGGTAAATGATGGTACTTACACTGCTTGTATTAAACAAAAACATGATGTATAAAAAAACACATACAAAGCTACATCTATTTGTGGTTTTAGATCTGACTGAAGTTCAGCTTTAAGTGATAAGTGCAGCAACTGACCAAAATTCACTAAAGCCCGACCAGCGCATAACATTTATTTAACCACTTCCAGCGTGTTCACTTAAATGTACGTCCTCCGCTGTAAGTGGTTATTCCAAGAACACAGCTGCTGCTGCAGCCCTGTTCTTGGTACCTTTTTAAAGAGCAGGTGATTGATGTTTAAATACAAGCGATCCAGCGTCTGTACAGGTGTCGGATCGCTTGTACGGTGCGGCACCGTGTCCCCGTCCCCCACCTCTGCGGCTGACGTCTGCTTCCTGGGCTCCACTGTCCCTTGTGTGAGCCCAGGATCGGCGTGGAGGGTCTCCCGTGACAGACTGGAGGAGAGATCACCGGCTTTTAGCCGCGGATCTCTCCTCCAATCACTGGACCCGGAAGTGATGTGCATTACATCACTTCTGGCGTCACTGGCCACATTCTCTGGCTCCTAGAGCCAGAAGCAGATCTCTGCTTCATCAGCTTCTTTTGAGTCCCTAAGTGACATTAGGGGTCACCTGATGTCTCCATAAAGAGGACCCGTCACATTATATTTGCTATTACATAGGGGGATTTTTAGCCCCCAATGCAATAGCAATAAAGCGTAGTGTAAAAAAAAAAAAAAAAATTAAAAGTAACAAAAAAAATGCAAAAAAATCCCAAACTATTTTAAAGTCCCCCCCCCTTTCCCATGTGCATGCACATACAACGCAGACATGCGTCTGATGCGCCTACGCGCAAAAACAAAAATTGCGCCACACACGTTCCATATTTTGTAGCGAGCGTCAAAATGAGAGCAATAATTCTAGGCCCATCAATCACTGGTAACACTAAACTGATGAGTGCTAAAAGCGTTTAAGGCCCCATTCACACTGAGCGACATGAAAATCGCGCGACATTGAGCGACGTGTCGCACAACTTTTTCCTATTGGGCTGTATGCAATCAAGAGCAATATCGCTCAAAACCGCTCTAAAAAAAGGGTCATGTAGGAGCGACAAGCTACCAGCGACGAGCTACAAGCGACTAGATGTGAACAGCTCCATTGAAACGTATTGTAGAAGCTACATAGAGCGATATCGCTGCAAAAATCGCGCGATAAATCGCTCAGTGTGAACGGGGCCTAAAGCGTTGACTTTGTGAAATTTTGGTTATTGTAGTTTTTTGCGGTTTCACGGACGCACGCAATTTTAAGGCTTGACATTTTTGGTATCTATTTACCCGGCGTGACCCTGTCTTTTATGTTTTAACTAATAAATTGGGCATTACATTATGTTTCTGTGCACTAAATTTCATTTTAGCGTATTTTATCCTAAAATACTTGTTTGATAAACATTTGCGCAAATATCGTGCAACATAAAAAATTGCAACTAGCATCTTTTTATTCTACAGGTCCTCTGCTTTCAAAAAATATAACCTGCACTAAAAATGCATCCCAATGTATCCCTATGTGTTTTATGGGCTACAGTTCTCACTTGCGCAGTCCATTCAGGTCCGGACAGAAACAATACTGCATGTCACATTTTGTCCGGTCAGGATGCGGTCTGGAAATGCAAAACGCGTCAGAAACGCACTACAGCTAACATACTGACAGCCTCGTCAAAAATGCATAAAAAACGCATAGCACCGCTTCTGCAGATCTGCTCCAGACATTGTGTGACCAAGCCCTCAGATAAGAGGAACATGTTCTATTGGAGACACTTTAAAATATTTGAGCCCACTAAGTGGTGGGATTCCACAAAAAGAACAGAAAACATGACAAAAGTATGGAACTAATTTTAATACATTAAATAATAAATCTTAAATTTCCAATCACAATCATAAAAATGCTATGATTTAGTTGCTGGACCTGAGACTTCGTGTAGACACATGTGAATTATAATGTAGTCATGACCTGCTGTGTACCAGCATCAATATATTCACGTCAATCTTGTCAAGACAGCTAAACAGCCAAAATATGGCACATTAGGACTTTTAGATATGAAGTCTGGGGTTCAGCAGCCACTTCCTAACCTTTTTTCACTCCCCTTTGTCGTTGCTTACTTATCTTTTGTTTTAACACTGCATAGAGTGTATGCTGCGCACCTTCTGTTCTGGATTCACACTAGCCTGTCTGCAGAAATTCTGCATTTCGGCGGGCTATTGTGTTGTGACAGCTTGTGTGTGTTGTGCACATTGTCAGAGCTATCACGTTTGATACTTTTGCCATTTTTTTTTTACTTTATGTGGAGTGCACATTGTGTACACTCAATTCAGGTCCTATTCATGTTGCAACCTGTGGTGGGATCCATTGCACTGTTATAAAATACAGCATGTTTGCATGCTATCATAGTGCAGTGCCAGGCCCATCACACCCGCAACTGTGTTCTAAGCGTCCTAGTGGTGACCTGCTCTGATCCTGTGCGACACAGCGCAGGTCACCTGAACAGGCCCTCATTCCTGTCTGCTGTGGTACCTTGGTGCATGTGAACTTAACTATTAACTCAGATGCTTCATAACTACAGTGTCTTATACTGTACAGCATATCACTGGCAGTGAAAAAATATATTTTTTTAATTTAACAGTAGTTTAGCCATTTCAAATTTATTAGTCTCGATTTCCTTTCTATTTTATGTTGGGCTGCATGTCACTTACACTTTTTTTTGTTTTAGGTAATTTTTAGTGAGAACTTTTGAGTTAGTTTGTTTGTTACGTTTTGTAACTATGTCTATGCTAAAATTGCAAGCTGCATTGTCATTTAAGATCACTAGGATTACCCTGTAAATATTCAACCATTGTTCTTTCTCTAGCTTCCATTGCATTCCATACAAGCCCTGCCTCCCTAAGGGCTTTTTTGGGAATGCAGAACAACTTGTTCAAAGACGCACTGGTGCCTGGGGAAAGTCTGTTCCTTGCCATAACAAATACTCTATTGCTTCGGGATGATGCGACTCCCGTGCATGCACACAGTATTCCAACACCGATGTGGTGTGACAAGAATGTATGATGAGCTGTGCAGCTTAGAGGAAGACTGCGAACAGGCAGGTAAGTTTGTTTGATTGCAGAAGAGACATAACGGATACAATGCATGAAAATAAAAATATCGCCGAATCAGGGTCCAGCCACTTCTGAACCACTCTAAAAGCAGTAGGGATGTCAATTGACAGTCAGAATGTGCTCCCTTGTTTTTGTGCCGTGCCATATTACCACCAAGTGTTTAAGATGATTTATAAACTATGCAAACAAGATTTGCATTATATTATGGCCACTATTCCTATAGGGAATATTCCACTGGAAATTCCCATGCTGCTCAGATCCACCTAGTGGTCATAATGTGCTGCACATCTCCTTCACAGAACTTTTAGCTATAGAAATAGCATATAAAATCACCCACAAAAATAGGAGCAGTAGTATAACGTATTTTCTGTCCTGTTTGCTGCACAATTGCTCAGGGCTGTGGTGGTGGTAGTGGGGCAGATGGCAAGCATGCGTAGGGCTCCTAACCAAGCGGCTTAGAATGCCGGGGACAGGACCCTTTCATCTTCCTGCGCATATTGTCGCTTTTTGATGCTGCCTCCCCTGTGGGGCAATCTGCTATTCCTGCAAAGTCTCCCATGCGATCCAGGCCCCACCAGTCTCCCAATGGAGGCATCAGGTGCTTTCAGATCTGCCTTGACCTTGGATAACTTCCACCCGGCTATGGATAGATTTGTTTCCCATGTTGTCTCAGAAATCTTAAAATATGTGCTCAAAAGAATGCAGTGGAATATTTTTTGGATTGATATATTCCTGTGTTGGACTTGGGAAAGTTGGTTTCTCATTTGTCTCATTGGTGGTTCTCTGTTGCATACTATAGCTCAATTGTTGGTCTGCGGACCACATGTCCAAGAAGGCCTTGACGGAGTTGCCCTTCATGGGCAAGCATTTGTTTGGGGCTTCGTTAAAGAAAATGATCAAAAATCTCACAGGAGGTAAAGAGTATTTTTCTTCTCAGACAAGAAAGCCTAAGGAGACTCGTCAGAATTCAGGGACTTCTTAAGCGTAATATTCTTGGCCAAGGGGTCTCGAACAAAAACAAGACGTTTCAGCCTCCCGCTTGGTGAGGTGCACGGCACCCTTGGTAGCAGAAACCAAGCATGGGGATAAGTTCTCAACATGTAGGTGCACCCCCACCAGCAAATCCCAAGGTGGGGGGGGGGGTGGGTGACTTATGTTGCTTGCGGCTTTCTCCTCAATACCTACCGGATGCACATTCTGCCAATCAGCTCTTGCTCAGGGGGGTCATTATTCCAGTGCCCTCTTTAGTCCCCAAAAATTATGGGTTTGTCTTATACTGGATCTGAAGGCTCTGAACACTTTTGTTAAGTTGTGCAAATTTGGATGGAATTGGTTGTCAGTCAGTCATTGCCCCTCTCCATATGGGGGATTTTTTGGCTTCGATTGACATTGGATGTCTACCTTCACATGCCCATTTCTTGCTCTCATCAACAGTCTATTCGCTTTGTAGTGGGGCGCTTCATTTTCGATTGTGTGATCAACTGTGGTCTTCTGTTCGTACCTCCATGTGGGTGCTGGATCTTATTGTGGCTTTGTTCGCGGCAGTTCCTTTTGCTCAATAACGCACTCAGGCTCTGCGTGGGAGATTCTATCACATTGTTATAGGCTTCTGAGGTCCCCGGACAGGGTTTTTCACCTCAGTTTATCCTATGCTATGTATGCTCCAAGATGGAGGCTCTCATAGATTAGCGTTATGACCACACACTCGCCAGCCTGCAAAAAATACACTAACTACTTGGGTTAAAAACAGAGGTTTTAGTCGCACAACAATTGCAAAATATGTGGAAGCCAGAATCCTTTTCTCTGCATTGATTGAAAACAACAGCACCCTCCCACAAATTGGCTTACTGTGTTGTTGTCGGTTTACTGCTTCCGGCTAACCTAGTTGATTGTGGCAGTCAGGGGGTTTGGTAACCAGCAAGAAACACCCCTGGGCTATTTATTTATTTTTTGCCTAGCATCCTACTCCTGCAGGGCGATATAAACCCATCAGTCAAGATCCTAATGGATTTTACAGTGAGTACAAAAATCCTATTTTGTAGCATCACAATACATACATTCTGCAAAGGAGACAGACTCTTGATTGACATCTCGTATTTCACTGTCTTTGTACATTCCAGACACAAGGTCATAGAAATCACAGGAATCAGCACAGACACTAGAACTGTGAGGGGAGCCCTGTATTGCTTTGGGAAAGTTTGAAGACAGTGGGATAATAGCTTAAAATCAAGAGGCCGGGGGGCATGCTGTCATTAGAGTTTCCTTAAAAATATAATAAAGGCAGGTGCCGGTCTCCGATCCAGCGCAGACTTCTGTGTGCTGCGTGCATTCACTGTGTCTCTCCTCCTCTCCCAGTCAGTAATATGGACTGTGCATGCACCAGCCCACATCATCCTCCTGCAAGGCCGTTCGGATCTGTGTACTGCACCCAGGAGCGAGCGGCGCAGAGAAAAAGTATTTACCTGCTTGGTAACTTTTTTTTTATGTTGTGGTATATATCTATTGCTTACTAGCAGTAGATATATGCAAAATAAATTGAGACTTTAATTATACTAAATATAAAGTTTGATGTAAGTCAAAACACACAATCCCCACTGGCAGCATCATGCTATGGGGATTTTTATCTGCAGCAGACCGTGGAAAGCTTGTGAGGGGAGAATTAATGCAGCATTTTTTTCCAGGAAATCCTGGAGCAAAACCTCATGCAGCCTGAAAAACACAAAGCTTGGTAGAAAATTTGTCTTGCAACAACAGAACGATCCTGAGCCATGAGAATGGCCTAAAACATGGTTATTGTTTAGGAATGACTGTCACAGTTCAGATCTCAGCCCTATAAAGATTTTTTTTTGGCTGGATCTGTAAAAGGCTGTTCACTCACGACGCCTCACTGACAGAGTTAGAACAGTTTTCTTAAGAATAGGGAATTATGGGAGTGTTCAGATGTGCCACATTGATAGATACCTTTCCACATGAACCCAAGGCTGTAAGTGCTACCAAAGCTGAATCTACTAAACACAGACTCAAAGGTTATTTATACTTATGTATTGGGTTAGTTTGTGTGCTTCTATTTTGTTTGAGAACAAATTTAAACCCCTGTTATATAATGGTCTACATATAAAATATGAAAACTTTCAAAGTGGAAAAATACTTTATAGGTACTATTAATTTATCTTAAAACATTAGAATATCTCATATCTGTTTAAAGTTTTCTAATACTATGCCATTAGGAGGCACCCCTCTATCAGTGAGGGAGGAACACTTCAAGAAAAGAAAAAAAAGTAGCGCAATGCACTTACATTGGCAGAACGTATCCGGAGTTGACCATGTTGAATTACTCAAGCAAATTGAACTGTTTTTGGTTCCAGGAACACGGAAGTATCCAGGCAGGCAGCTATATGTTACATTACTACCAACAGGAAAATTGACTTGGCTAGTAAACTGTGGATCCAGAATGGCAAAATCCAACCTCTTAGGCGCTCCACAGTCTCCTATAGAAAACAACAGTGAAGGATTTAACTACTAAACAAAATGACCAGTTCCTATTATATGTACTTACCTGGCCATTGCATTCGGGCTGCTGCTGGACTGATCACCTCTGACATAATGGTGCAGTGTTTCAAGATGGGAAAGTGTAAGTTGCCACTTTGTTTTTTTTAAAATAAATATTAAACTTTTTTTCCCCGATTAGACGATTATTAGCTTTGATTAATCGACTAATCAGATAAAATAAAAATAATACCGTCATTTATTTAAAATAAAATACACAAATGCAGCATTACAGACATAAAGCTTACAGGTCAGAATAAAATAGTATGCAAATTCTTTTTAAATTGCACTGCACTGGAACGCAGGACATTGCAATACCACGAGTGAGATGCATTTGAGATATATATATATATATATGCATTTGAGATACGTGTGTGTGTTACACACATTACATATATATTTTTAATAACTGGATGTATATGTTGTGTTAGTTTCATGGATTTAAAATAATGTGAATTTTAAAACTAAGACAATATAATAAAATAACCAAACTTTTATTTAAAATAACACCAAAATTAAAAATGTTCTATTTTTAATTTTCATTTAACTTTTTTTTTTTTTTACTTTATTGCTGGGAGCCATACCCAGCCTGCTATTGGATATTTCAAATTGCAATAGCCAATAGCAGGCTGGCTATTGCACCTGTCCACTGCCTGCTGTCAATCAGCAAAGGAGGGAGCTGAAGGAGAAATTTGCATTTTATTGCAATTTAAAATATCCAATAGCAAGCTGGGTATGGCTCCCAGCCTCTAGCTGCAGAGGAGGAACAGGGCATCAGTGGAGGCACGGGCCAGGGCTGAGGAGAGGAGACACGGGTCTGAGGAAGAGGAGAGGAGACACTAAGCAAACATTCTCTTTTCATTCTGCTATCAATATATTAGTCTGTGGATGCCCTCCACTGGATTGGAGCTACTGGGTCATGTGCATATTATCAAGTTTTAATTATCAAGTGTGTGAACATTCCCTCATCTTTTATACACTTAAGCTTATAAAGTACTGTGCACTTTTTTCCCTAGCTTCTGTTCAATCTAATTGCAATGTCCTTGGGGACTAATCCCTGCAGTGTGTTCGCAATATTCACATACCAGTCTAACAACTGTAAAAAAAAAAAATCTGCATCTCGGTATCCCTACAACCGCACAGTATCCTTTGCAAGTATGTCAACAGAGATGACTCAGTTCAACAAACCAATGGTGGAGACTGGAGATGCCTGAAATTTTATCTTCATCTCTGTGAAAAACAGTGAGCCAATCACACCCAGGCTGGATTTAATATTTCTGGGGCAGTTTGTACCCAACTAGTGTACAGAACATCATGGTCCCTCTGTGTGTGTTGTAAAGTAGCCACCGCTATAATCTCACTCCCATGATGAACTACAATATCAAAACAAATTAGTAAACTAAGCATGAGATTGTAGTCCATCACGGGAGCGAGCTTGGAGCGGTACCCGTACGTCCTCCTGTGAACACGTGTCTGCTGAGACACCAGAACCATGGCATTAGCTACAGAGCCAGTCGGACCGACTCTGTGTCCTATGATTCCTGTGAAAGTTTACATTGCCAAGCCCCCCTTCCTCTTACATCAGAGGCAGGGGAGAGTGAAGTGAGTAATGAATGAATAAGTCATCTAATCATTACTTACTAGTGAAAACAAACTTGCAGAAGCAGCACAAAAAAATAAAATACACTGTATCAACTTTCAACTCCTTTTAACCCCTCCCCCTTCCTGCTTATGTTAGATCTATTCTGACTATGCTCTGAGCTGTATATTTATACTTTTACCTCCCCGTATCCTGCATCCCCTTCATCCCCATCCTCCCACTGTATGTGACCTGTACATTATCCCCTTTACCCCCTCCTCCCTCTGTCTATGACCTATGCATTTAATGTATCTTGTGCACTATTACCAAGCTCCATGCTTTAGGCCCCTCAACCCCGGCGTTTCTTCATTTCCAAAAAGTTGCAGCAAAAAAAAAAAAAATCATCAGATCACCTTGGAGTATCTAAATTTCCAAAACGGGGTAATTTTTGAGGTTTTGGTATGGTCTTGACATTTTTATTTGTTATGATTTATAATCGAAAGTAAGAAAGAACAGGCTTTTGTGTCTTTTTTACTATAGCAAAAAATTAAAAAGCGGTTATTAAATACCACTAAAAGAAAGCTCCATTTGTCCCCAAAAATTGATATAAAATGAATTTTGTTATAGTGTTGTGTAATTAAGGATTTCTCAGCCAAACTTGCACAGCGCTGAAAAAACAAAAAAATGGCCTGGTACTGAAGGGGGTGTAACATGCCGGTACTGAAGTGGTTAAGCAATTGAGATAGTTGAAGACCATCTCCAGAATTATTGTGCCCCCTTTCCCCTGCTATCGCCCCCTTTCTCTGGAGCCCCCCCAACACTATTTACTTTTAAAAATCCCTCTATACATTCCTGCAGTCTTCTGCTTGGTCAAGTGACATCACAGGTACTTTTTCTCTAGTGGTGGAGGAGGGCGGACCTTACTCTTGGACAGAGATGAGCTCACATGAGTGTCATCAAGAAGTACTTTGATCCAGGCTATCATGACGTGTTCATAACATCCTGAGCTCACAGTAAATGGACTCAATACCACTGGGCATCCTGAAGACAGCTGACATTGGATTGCAGAGCAGTGAGTCTGCAGGGGGCAACACCGGAGATGAGGGGAATATTACAGCGAGAGCAATTTTGTTTTTTTCACTGCTGGACTATTTAATTTTAAAATGCTAATGAAAAAAAGTTAAATTAGGTTTTTGGGCTTGTTCACAGCAATTGCAGTGCATTCCAGAGCGGCTAACTGCAGGAACGCACTGTATCGCATACTAAACTCCGCCCTGCGTTCTGGGGACATGAATGCCTGCGTTCCGGTCCAGGGCGATTGCAAAAAATGCTGCAAGCAGGGGGAAGTTTAGTATGCGATACAGTGTGTTCCACCAGCTAACCGCTCTGGAACGCACTGTAATTGGTGTGAACAAGCCCTTAGGGCTCATGTATATGGACAACAGAGCCTGTACAATGTAAATACTGGCATATTTTTTACCACCAAGGAGCACCGGTGCGGTGTACGGCCTTCCATGGAAGTCAATGGCTGTACACCGGTATGGCAAAATACTGTGTTCAGGGATTTATACCCCTACACATTCATGGCTGATGGCAAGTACTGGAGTACACCTACATACAGCAGTAAGTAGTACAGCCATTGACATCTATGGAAGGCTGTATGCAGCACCTGTGGCTCCCTGGCTTGGGGGGAATACACCAGTATTTACATTACACAGGCTCTGTTGTCTGTGTGCTTGAGCCCTTTAATTGAAAAATGTTTCCTTGGCTTAGACTAAAAGGCAGTGGCATCCCGAGGCTAGGTGACACCCGGAGCGGTTACCGGGTGTCATCCCGCCGACTCGCCACTGCGCACGGGCGAAGACGTCATCGCGCACGCACGGCACTCTTCTGATACCTGCCGGAAGCCATCTTGGTGATGGACGCAGGCAGAGAGAGGAGGGGGACAGTCACCCGGCGGGATAAGGAATGCTGCCGGGTCCCCTACTCTCTCTCCTGATACTGTCCATGACCGAGCACCCGACTTTTCAGAGGGGGGTGACACCAGTCATTTTGGTGTCACTCCTCCAATGGTGTCACCCAGGTGCGGGCCACACTCCCTAAAGGATACTTTTATACAATTGGCCAGAATTATTTTTATATCAAAACTAGGGATAGAGATAAAGGTTAGCTGGATGTTATTTAACATAATTACCGTAAATATAATAAAAACTGTGAAAATTGTATTTATTAAGAACTAACTTACCATAACTAGCAGCAATACATGCTGAAAAGCATACAAGCAGAAAAACCCAGTGGCTTCTTGCAATGTTCTCTTGAGGACTCATAGTGATTAGAATTCACTAATAGAAAATACAAAATAAAAACTTAGTTACAAATGACAATAGGCTCAAACTGTTAAGCAGTAACAATTGGTATTTACCATAACACCTACTATTTTCAACAATGACTGGCAATAAGAGCTGCAAAATAAACTGTGATTGAAGCCAACTTTCATTAAAGCAGACCTTTACACTTAAAAATCAAATTCTACCAATGCATCTCTCTCTATCTCTCTACGTATGGTGATTAATAACAACAGACATGTCAGATGTAAAATGCTGATTGTGAAATACTACTTGCAGGGCATTCACTTCATGCTCTGAAAGGGCAAAAGGAAGCAATGCACACTGGAATTGCCTTGTCATCCGCAGAGCATTGCTGGGAAATCTCAGGGAAAGGCATTTTCCTCCCTCTGAGATGTGCATGGTCACATGTCTAGTCACATGTGCTAGAAATCCAGGAAGTAAAAGGAAAGGTAGTACCCCACCCTTAGTAAACATGGCCACTGCCAGAAGACTGGGGAAGAAAAGAGTAATAAGGTAGGATACAAAGCCTGCAGTTTGTAGTTTTTAGAATGTTTGTCCCATTTTTTGGTGTGAATGGTTCCTAAACATAAATAAAATTTCGATGACAAGTCTCAAGCATTATCGCATGTTCTGGTGAGATTCTTTGTACAAGATTCAAAAAAATTCAAACAATGAATGTCCAGCTTTAGGCCCTGTTCAAACGGGCGATCGGATCTTCCGGTCAGTTTTTCAGACAGATCTGATTGGAAGCCCAATGTTAGTGTATTTACATCTAATTACCCGAGTCCGGCCA